ACACACACACACACACACACACACACACACACACACACACACACACACACACACACACATCCATCTGTACTTTGTGGATGTTGGTTTAAAAATTAACATTTTAAGAGTCATTGCGATATCTGTCTATTCAATCAACATGCCTTAATTATAAAATATGTTTAATAGTATTTGTATGACTTATATGCGTATGTGCATGCAATTCTCGTCGTGATTATGACTGTCATTGCCCGCAGATCCTCTTCGCAACATTCAAAATTGGTATCCACTGCGATTCATTTTTTGACCCATCTAACATGCACGGAGGTATCGGCGGTTGAGGCGTGCTACTAAACTCTTTTATGAAAGCAGAATAATTTATAAGTAGATTCCCTTCTCGCATCAATTCCGTTTTTTTCCCCTTAAGAATTTCCACAGCTCTCTTACAACACTCCCAGTAGTCTGGCTGCTTTGTCACCGTTCCTTGTTGTTAATAAATTCGCACGTCATATATATCAAGCTCTGTGAATCTCACGACAACGCATAATAATTTTGCTTCTTACACTTCACATTTGACCATCGACATGTATTCATATAGAAATGCCCCGCCGTTCGTGATTATTTTCATTGCTTCCGGCACCGCTTGATTGATAACAGTCACCATTGGCCCCGCAACACCTCTTGTATCCCACAATTACTAAAATAATTATCGCTTGTTTGACAACCTTGCACGTTCTGCATGACCACAATCATGATTGTATGTACAATGAAATTAGATGTTTTTACTTCTTGTATTTACTTCGACGTTTCGTTTATATGCATAACACTTTAATATTTCACTTGCATTTCTCATATCCATTGATTATCCTATTGTTTTTTATACTATTGCACGACATATTTTGTCCATAATCTTATGAAGTATCCCTTGTCGTTCAATTATCGCAACCACTTCGTATATTATATGTGATAACAAACTGCATACTTGACAACATACATTTTACTTAAGCACGTGTGTCACATTTTATATGATTTCTTCACTCATACCAGTACAAACATTTTCAGCCCGATGCGCAATTGTCTTTTTCCCACCAGCTCTTGCCTATCCGTAATCGTTGCCTCCTACGAATAAACACATGTTTTCATATCCCTACATGCAAATAATGGCTTAGTGAGTCGATCGGTCATTGACCAATTCCTATCATTTCCTTAATTTTCCACTATTTCCTCACTATGACACTTCAATCGCTCGTTGATAAATTGCTACCTCACACGTGCTCCACACTCACGTTCTTGTACGATAGATAATTTATCTCTACTTTACATAATTTCGGCATAGCCAGCACAATGGCCGATCGTCTTTTTCCCACCATCTCTTGTCTATCTGTAATCGTTGCCTCCTACGAATAAACACAGGTTTTCATATCCCTACATGCGAATAATGGCTACGTGAGTCGATCGGTCATTGATCAATTGCTATCATTTCGACGAATCCCATCCTACCATGCTACGACCGATAATCCTACCATCGCGCTAACATTCCATCCTGCCATTCGATCTTCCCTCAATTCGATGGTTGATCTTCGTCATGACACCCGACCACTCTCTGTCAGCCTGATGATCGAGTGTCTTCATGTAAAGCTTGTCCCTGCTTGCTCACGTTGAAGATGAAATTGTTTTCACCATTCAGGTGAGCAATAAGCAACGAGATTCCCGTTCATCCGCTGCCAGAGTTGCTTCATACCAATTTTTTTTCTTTAACTTCGTCTTTTTCATTTTCTGCACTATTCCTGTAGTGTACACCCAACGAAGTACCTTTGTAGCACGTGTAACAGCAATGCATGTTCTTTTACTAATATAAAGCAACATTGCGTCCCTAATCAAACTACAAAAGCGCATCACGTGCCGGGATATCCAGAATTCTTCATCGTTCGTTTCTTCGTCGCCCAATAGTCTGCTTCTATCGATTCGTGTCGCACAATGTGTCATTCCATGTCGAGCTTCGAAAGCAACACATAAAACTCTTCCTCGTTCACGAAAGCGTGAATCGCATAGCCAACCAGAACCATAATAAACACTTTTCCATTTACGGATGCCCTCGTACTGGACCACCTTCCCCCACTTATCCGCTCGACGAAGCCATGCTTGCTCGATGTCCTTTTCCATCAGGATTGCAATGATCTCGATGTTTTGCAAAACAAATATCATATACGTCAGATGATGCACGTGTCGTACTGCTGCCAGCGACTTCATTGCTTTCACATCGTCGCTCTTCTTGTCAGGCATTCCCGAGGCAGTACTGTACGGTCCGACATCCCCTAAGCGCCAGTGTATAGTCCCCACACGGTCCGGCGCCCCCGAGGCGGCAGTCCATACGCGTGTCCGTCGTTCTCGGGGGCAGTGGTCCAGCGTGTGGCCCTGTGTCCAGGTGCTGCCCGGACGATCGCGTCCACTGCGGGACACCGGACACTTGTGTGACCCGTTGGGGGCAGTGACCCTTCGCGCCCTGTGTGGGGCGGGGACGCCGCCAGACAAAACGATGAATGGTTTGGCGGCCCGTGGATGCCGGATCATCGCATGGTATAGCGGCCCGGGGAGGCTGGACGATCGCATGGTCTGGCGGCCCGGGGTCCCCGAAGCGCCGGACCATGCGGAAGTCTGACGTCCCAGAACCGGCATACCATACGATGGTCCCTGAACCGCCGTCGCTTGGTCTGGCGCCCCGGGGACGCCGGACCATTGCATGCCACAACAGGGTCCTTCATTATCGGTCGCTGCAACAACACACGGTTCGGCGGCATGAGGTTGCCACCCCATGTGTCTGGTCAAGACGCACAGATAGCATGTGACATGGTTTGAGCGTGGATTGAAAACACGCAGACATTCGTGGGGAATCGACAGACGATCATGTGTCATGCCCACACCCGCCATCATTCTCACCAACGAACGCACGAACATACTGGACCATGTGGCTTCTCCACATCCACCATGTTTATCACCTGCGAATAGACCGACAAACCCATCACCATCGGACAAACCAACGCACTCATTCGCAACATCGCGCAAGCACCGCAATGAACAACACCATACGCGACCCGGGACGATATGGCAGGGCGAGACATGACACGGCACGCCCGTGGCACCGGACCTTCTCGTCATGTGGCCCTTCACACAATGAAGGGCGGACCATATGATGGTATGGTCCGGCGTCCCGGCGACGCCGGACCCCACGATGGTATGATTCGGCGTCCCAGTGACGCCGGACCATATGATGGTATGGTCCGGCGTCCCAGTGACGCCGGACCATACCATCATATGGTCCGCCGTGCCTGGGACGCCGGATCGGCGTACCCTTCCTCTCCCTCGATCCATGCCATCATAAGCTTCTGCGTCCTTTGGGTGTCGGTTCGTGCCGTGCGACGGACATGGCATCGTGCGCCTATCCATTGTATTGCCCACCAACCCACCAACAGGCCAGTCAATATCGCTGTCTGCTAACCTTGCAACATACTATACAATATCATAGGACCTCCAGACGCTCGTCACACCTCAATTTCATTACGCGTCAATCATTTCGGCACTTGTTAATGTCTACAATTGAAATCGCTTTCTCCGCTGCTGCTAGTGATTCCATTGCCTTCAATGCGTCACTCCTCCTGATTTTCAATCCTGATTTACCTTTCCTTTCACTTTTCCATCCCCATGCCACACTGGTTAGGTGTGCCACCCTGGCGAAGATTCGTTCTCCACTTGCCAACTTTTGTTCCATGCGTCTTCGTACAACTTTGAGATATCTGTTTCTTTTCCTTGTGGCCTCCAATACTGGACAAGAATTGTATCAGAGCCTTGTGACATTTCCTGAACACGTCCTATCCAAAAACTAACCCCTCTGTCTACGTACTCGTCCGGAGCGCGCAACACAACAAAACATCCTACTTCAACATGCTGTGCTGGGTCGAATTCGGGATTCGAGGCATCCTTCTTGAAACCCACGAAACATTGTTTTCTCGGCGGCGAGTCGAGTATCGTCAATGACATTTTTACATCTTTGGTTAGTTGTGGCATAGGTGACGGCCAGAAATTGATAGACAAAGGAATAGGTTATGAACTGCTTTCGTTTCTCATGTTCTTGAACAACTGTAACTGTGTCTGCCAATACTCAAGAAGACTTGCTTTGAGATGACGTTTCCATACTTCATGTATCTGAAATTGTGACTCCTCGTTCTTCCAGTCCTCTACCAAATCGCTCACACCTTCGTGGCCTTTGATGAAGTCTCCGTTGTCCAAGTTAACTTTTAATMTAGACGGYTGAAATGRMATCGACGGTCYTGCCCATCCCCCTTCCTCATMCCTCTTGAACCAATATATGGGCTCGCCCACTGGCATCCATTCACTGGCATTGCAATGTTCTTTGTACACCATAGCAGGGTTCTCCCCGTTCATATAAAACTTAAACAGTTGTGCCTTTGAATGACCGCCGATACGTTTGTCGAGATATTCGTTGATAGCTCCTTTCCAATCTGCCATCTCATCGATGAATGTGCAACTTACGTCCTCCTTTGTCGACTTTCTAAGTGCGTCGAACAATTCTGGCATGATGTAAGCATCGATGTTCGCTAGCTTCCTAGCGAACAAACTAAACTTTGCATCTATGTCTGTGTGTGTGTGACCCACTATCATGAATCYCATTTCTACGACTTCGAAAACGCGGAACTTAACCAACAATGCGAGGAACGCAAACACGTATCTGTTTTTGTTTTAACTGCCACAATTGTCTGCCTGCAGTCGAAAAACTGGAGGCAACCCTCCTGATTGCCTTTGCACGTCTCTCAAGACCCTCGCAACGGATGGTACAATCGAATCCGGACCGTGAGGGTAGACTGAAAACCATGTGTGCACAATAATATGTGGAATCCTTCCATGTGCGAGGATGCCAGTGAGGTTTGTTTTCATCATGGTGCGGTTGTCCATGGCCTTGGACGTGCGGTTGCGAGCTGTGTGAGGAATGATTGTTTTTTGCTTGGTCCATTCCGTCGATAATTATACACAAGCTTTTGTCTAGCAAGAACTTGGATTCTGCCAACCACATATCATAGTGTTCGCTGTACGCCTTCTGCAACATTCTATGACGATTGAGCTTCGCGACGAGGTCGCGTCTAGCCTCGGCATTGCCCCTTCTATAAGGTCTGTCTGTTTTGTGCAGTAATCACATCTAGCATGATCGGTCGATCTAGCTAGGTGAACGTGCCAAAAGAAATCACGCCACATTTTTCCGAAAGCCTGCAAAGAACAACAGTCTAAGCCATGTTTCTTCAGTCGCCGTTGTATGCTCTCGTACACGTTTGTCTTCGTTGCGTACGTGGAAGGCAACCTGACTCTCGGTCTGACTTCGTAGTCTTTGTTCATGTCAGTCTGGTCAGGCATTACATCAGCCTCTTCCAGTATCAGTGTTTGAAAGGTCTGAAAAGTCATCGCATGGATGGCGGATGACGTAGAGTGGCATTGCCTTCCGTGAATGGGCACGACTGTGCCCTCTGCATGTGTCTCACGATAATATGCGTACGTGTTCCTCGAAAAGCCGATGATGTTGCACCATGCCTGTACATAAACCCTGTGTTTCTCCACGATGGGTTTGACTACCTTCTTGTCATCTTCAATACATGTGAAACTATCGAATTGTTTAATCCACCATTTCCTTCTTTCTTCTGACGACAGTGATATATATTTCATTCTTGCCCTGTATACCTCATCCGCAGTCATCTTCGAGCAGCACTGCAGTTTTTTGCAGCACGTCGTATTGAGCACTGCAGCGCACTCCTCCATCGTGCATTTGTCGAATAAATCTGCATCTAATGTTTCTGTTCTTCTCTTCCTCTTTCGATAAGTATATTTCCTCTTCCCTGTGCTCGTTGGCAATTCGGTCAACAACGATATCGGCTCAATGTTGCCGTCATCTGGCAGCCACATATCGTCTGCGGAAGACACATCTGCATGGCAGTGACCATCGTCGCTGACATTTTCTTCTTGCGAAGTGGGCTGGTCATACGAGTCCTGTTCACTGCGCTTGACCCCACGTGGTTCACACTTGATCGACGGGCCACTTAACGGATAAGAAGAATTGACATGCGGGACCCCCTTGATTATATCCTCAAGTTTCAAGCGTTGGACCACCGTGTTATAGGGGTTGCTGCTACATGGGTGAACTGCACTTCTCTTTCTGGGATCACGAATGCAACGAACTGAGGACTTCCCACCACCCTCAAGTTGCGCCGATGGGGGAGACTGACTCTCACTGCTGCAAACGATCTGTTGTGCCGTATGCGCCTTAGGATACACATCAGACGGGTGGGACTCAGAAGGGCAACTCCCCTTCTCGCTGTGCATATTCGGTGTGTGCATTGTTTCTGCAAGGCATCCGGAAGCAGTGTCAATGGATGGAGTGATACAACCTCTTCCTTGGCAAGCATCTAACAAAGTTTCGCTAACGCACGCCAACGACAACAGAGAGACCACAGTGTTCTGGCTGTTCAAAGTCGGGATTCCTTTACCTCGAGGGAGGTGTGCTGGCAGCCTGGCAGATGGTCCGCCACCAGCATGGCACAAGATACAAACCCCACACAACCACCGATGAACACAACAACCCTCAGCACATACCATCGACAAGGAGCCCCCAAACAACCAGGCAGTGGCGAATGTTATGCCCCACATGTTGAGGAGCAAACCAGATAGTGAGCAGCAGAATGTATATCACCATGTGTAATGGAATGTCCTCGTGATAGGCACAAACAGATCTCTTCGGCGCCACATGATCCTTTAGTCCTCGGAGCGCCGCAGTTGCAAATGGTCCGGCAGCAGGACGACGCGGGACCATGTTTCCTATCCACGGACACGCACACATATAGTGTGATGGAGGAACCCACGAAGAGAGCATCGCCGCAAACACATGGTTTGGCGGCACGAGGACGCCGCAACAACACATGGTTTCGCAGCACCAGGACACCAGACCATGTGTCGTATCCACAGCGGGCGGCGGACACGGACACAGAGAATGTGTTGTATGACCCGACGAGGAGATCATGGCCCACAAACACAAAGGCATAGTCCACGCGACCACAAGATCCTTCATGATGAGGACGCCGCAACAACACATGGTTTGACGGCCCGAGGATGCCCAACCAAGAGTGTTATCCATGAAGGATCCACGGACACGGACACAGAGCATGTGTTGTATGACCCGACGAGGAGATCATGGCCCACAAACACACAGGC